TTACCATAACCGCGTCCCTGCCGCGGCCGCCACGAGTCCGGCTCGCCGCTTCACTTTTGCTCCCGCCTATACTTGGGGCACGTCCGCCGCTTCACTTTGGCTCCCGCCTGTACTTCGGGCACGTCCCTTCGCCGAGCGCAATCACTATTACTCCCTTTTCGTGACAGAAATACGGTGGCCGACAGGTCTGCCAATAACCTGGCCCTTTCGCAATTCGCTTCTACTTTTTTACGTCATTGAAAAGGGAACGCGCGAGGAAATGGTTTTAAGTTTTACGTGCATTTGCCCAAGACGTCGGTGATACAGGCAACACAGCGATGTGTAAAGTGTTCTCTACCGTCGAGCCTTACCTGTAGTTTCGAGAAGTCGACTTTGATTAGTCTTCTGGTGGAGGTAGTCGTCGACTTAGGGGTGCCGGGAGAGCTTGGCGCGTCCACGGGTACCACTGCAACAAAGAAAAGAGACGACGATCGTTAGACACTGTTCTCTGTGCTTACAGCAGGGGGGCACTTGAGATATTCCGTGAGTTTCAGACGTCGTACACATTTCGGCAGAGTCCGAGTCGTCCGAATCGTACTCGAAGCCCGGCGCGGCCGCGTCGGAGCCGTCCGAGTCATCGGCTGGGATCGGCGGCACGAGCGCTGCCTCAGTCTCTCCCGAGTCTGCTCGGACCATTATCGGCGCAGGAACGTCAGGCCGAGTCGCGTTTTGGAACACCGTCCGAGGCAGGGGCAGCAGCTCGGCCTCTGAACCCACAGACTCTAGCTCGGCCGTCTCTGACACGACTACGACTGCCTGCTCCGAACTGATGGCCTCTGACGCATCGGATCGTGAACCAACGGCCTCTGACTCTGACACGAGCAGGCACTCTGACATGACTGTCTCTAAACCGACGACGGACTCTGACACGACGGCGGACACGGCGGCGCTCGGCTGCTCCTCGCCGCTTTGCAATCGCGACATGACTGTCCGCCGTTCTGCGGAGCCGCCAGGAGTTGTTGCGAGTCCCAATTAAAAAGGCGGCGTCCGAATAACAACCATCAAACACTTCGAATCGTAGCGCCCGGGTTTATATGCGACCGTATGTTCGAGATCTCGAACGCCGCCGCGGTATGCGACACCTGAGCACACATCATGTGCAGACAACAACAGTCATCGGCTGCTCGACCCCGTCGTCGTGTGCCCCAAATAGAACGTGACACTTTTTCCCGCGCGGAAAATTACCCGCCTGATCGATATTGAAGCTTCTGGTCTTCTCGCCTCGAACAGAATAAGAGATAGTAGAGCAGCTGCATATCTAGTTTACATAACTTTTGGAAGTGTACGCAGTTCCTAGCGGGGGATATGTTTTTGCTGTCGCCAAATAAATTCGATCGTGCGAAAATGAGAGCACAAACAGGCAGCGGCAACTCAGCCGCCAAGAGCAAGCGGGAACAAAGGAGGCTAATGGGGCACACCTCGGGCGCACAGGCGAGCCGGCCGAGTGTGAGTGTCCTAAGTATGGGAGCCGCGGGGCGGGGCGGGTGGCGGAGCGGGGCGGGTGGCGTGCTAATTGTAATATGGCCCAATCCGTGTCCTTACCCTACTCCTGTCAACCCGTCAGACGTCGCGCGCGGCATACCCGAGACACACACTACTACTATTATTCATATTATTGTCTGCATAAATGTTAAGGGTACTGTAGCTTTATATACTATATATATATACGGTTTGGTCACCCTCTGCTGCTGCTGCTGCTGATGATGATGGCCGCATCAAAGTGGAACCCAAGTGTGTGAATGTCACACACTTGTAGGTGTGTGAAGGACATTCGCGCACATTTAGACACAAAGTATATGTCAATTTCAAGGGAACATTCACAACTTCACACCTTTTACTGTACGAATAGGCATTCAGACACCTGCAAGTGAGCGACATTCACACACTTGCGTTTGCAGTGCAACGACCCTCTTTACGGCGTGTGACCGCTAACGCGCGCGTCGTACGGTCCCGACAGCAGACTGCGGCGCTGCGCCGAGAGGTGGTGAAGTGATGCAAGGGGGCATCAGTATTGTGGAGTCTCTTCGCGCCTCAGCCGGGGAGCGTTAAATTTCTGAATGGGCCTTCATTTTATTGAGGCAGCCTTGCTGTGCGCTGTGCGGGGCGCCACAGGCGGGAACGCACGACCGTGTCAGATGGAACCGCACTGCTAAAAGTGTGGATGGTGTAATGCAATGCAATATGACACGACAAAGTACGCCAACGCTGCTGGAAAAACAGAGGTGCGCAAAGTCGCACCTTTGCAGGGTTGCCAAAGAAATTTCGAGTTTAAAGCTTTCGCAAAAGTACGATTGATAAGAGTCAGTTTTAATCTGCTTGGACAAAAACGAAAACTCCGAACACTAAGAGTGGGATACTACGCCCTGGTCGAAGGACAGCCTATTACGTAGAGTCCCACATGGTCACATTGTGGTCATACGAGGTGCTGGACAAACACGCCATCTCCAACTTAATTGCAGTGGGATTCATATGGTGTGTTCAAATATACAAAACCCGTTCGAGGATGTTTTTATTCGTTGAACAGTGTACACGATGTTCTCTATGCGGCGTAACCGTGTGGTATGGTTGTTCGTATGGTGGCTCCGGAAGGACACGTTCGTGGTGGTGGTGGTGGTGG